TATGAGGACTCCCAGATTAAGTGGGAAACATTTTATTTTACTTCTATCAATGCCTGATCTGTTGTCCTATACACAGTATGTTCGCAGTAAATCAATTTTCAGTATATTGGTGTCTACATTTTCCAACACCTTATGCTATGTATTAGAGACACAACAATGAACAAAATGGAAATAATCTCAACTAAGTTTCTGGCTGGCAGAGAAAAAGATCCCTATACTAATCATCTTATAAATGATGATTATAAATTTTGCTTTCCTTCTAAAACAGGATATTTAGTTCAATGTGAGAGTGAAAATATGCAGGCCCTATATACTTAGGGACAGTGATGATCATATAAGACCCTTTTGAGTCAATTCCATATAAATTTAGACAGAAAGAATATAAGGAACAGGAAGCAGCTGGGTGTGGTGGCGCACGCCTTTAATCCCAGAGGCAGGTGGATCTCTGTAAGTTCAAGGCCAGCCTGGTCTACATAGTGAGTTCCAGGACATCTGGGGCTACAGGGAGACCCTGTCTCAAAAAGACCAAAAAAGAAGGAAAGAAAGAAAGAAAGAAAGAAAGAAAGAAAGAAAGAAAGAAAGAAAGAAAGAAAGAAAGAAAGAAAGAAAGAATCCAAGGAAGGCAACATTATTTGTCCAGAGACAGGACTATAAAATATAAAGAGCATCAAGAACTCTGGTGAACCTGGGTTAGAGGCCAAGTGTTGGGCAAGACAGCACAGGAAAAATCGAGGACACAAGCGTCCACATTATAGATGACTTTGCAGTCTTAACCTGATCTCCAGGTTAGGAATCAGTGATCTCTCCTATGCTCTTCATCCTTATCGTAATGATTTGTCCCTTCTTCCTTGTTTATTCTATCAGCCTTTCTTTATACCTATTCTTTTCACCAGGGCTAACACAATGTATTCAATCTTATATTCATCAATTCAATTATATATAATATACATATTCACTTTTGAATTATGAAATATTGTCCTTTAAGACTTATCTTTGTCCTTTGGTGTCCAATGTTTCGCCCCTGATTTAAGATGGTGAAAAAAAAAAGAAAACTCAGTGACTCATATATCTCAAATCATTACGATATCACTTTTAAATATTCACACAAATACAACCTACAACCCGTTAATACTAAGATGTGTTTTAGTATGATAAGGCGAAATGGTATCTAAACTGTAAGCATTCTGCCAAGGGAAGCCAATCAGCAATAAAGCAAAGATGTATTGAATGCTGTCCATTAAAAAAATGTCCTTTTTGCACTTCTTGCCCATCCTGTGATCTGAGTTTTTTTATTGAATGTTTATGATTTTCACACAGTATACTTTGATGCTATTTAAATCCCCTTCCCTCTTTGTACCTCCATTTACTGCATCCTAATTTGATGTATTCAATTATATATAATAAACAAATTGTATATATAATAAGGCCTTATAGAGTGTAATTTGTGTCCCCAAATATCCTTCAGTGTTGACTTCATTTTGATAGTCATGGAGGCATCTGTGTTTCTCTTTATACTTGGCATTTACTTCTCTTTTCTTCCTATGAAGAAAAATACAGTCAGCCCTGCCTGTTTGACCTTTGTGTTCCACAGCCATTTGGTAGAGCACTTCTCACTGAATAGGCATCTAGTTATCACTATACTGTAAACCCCTTCTAGCAGAGTTCATTCTCAGGAAAGACAGAATTCTGTTAAACAAACCATAGATAGATCCAGAAGTTAGTAGTGAATCCATTCTGACCTTTCCCTCTTGCCAAGTGAGGAAGAAACATTAAGACAGACTGTGGGGCAAGGGGGAGTTGTGAAAGGTATGATAGTAAGTACAAGTCATGTAGTTAGTCATATAAAAAGATAACAGAGAAGAAATAAAATCCATAAAGCCTCCATATATCAAACATTTTCTGTGCATCCAGAATGGTATATACAATTGCCTCTAAGATTCATGTAGCTCTGCCTTACACGTAGGAGAAGTAGGCAGGACCTTTATCCAGAACCACTTGCTTCAAAATTTAAGGAGAAATGTGAATACATTTCTGCTGCTTCAATTTTCACACAAGCGGGGCTCTCCCAAGGACATTCAGTTTTGGAATAAGTCTAAGGTATGAGATAGGGGTGAACAAAAAACAAAACAACAAAAGTACAGTGGGTGTGGTAATGTACACCTGTAATCACAGCAGAGTAAAACCAAAGCAGAAGGGTGACCCTAGACCAGCCTGGGCTACACAGAAGGTTCCCAACTTGGTACCCAACTTGTCAGTGAAACCCTGTCTCAAATAGAGGGAGAAAGAGAGAGAGAGAGAGAGAGAGAGAGAGAGAGAGAGAGAGAGAGAGAGAGAGAGACTACCTGACACATTACAGGGACTGACATAAGAAATTTGATTCCTATATCACCGAAAGAAAGAGCTGGTTTCTCCATAATACCCACCCCCCACCCCACTCTAGACATTCAGACTTAACTCACTGTGCCCTACATGGCCTGCATTAGTCAGAGAACAGCTCTTGATTACTCTGAAATACAATCAGCAATGAGATCACAGGGGAACTTCAATCTGAGCTGCCTTCCTACTCTGATTCAATAAAACCCCATTAATGCCCCTGAAAAACAGTACAAATTGTTTCTTATACCCTATGGTTAGTTTAAGACTTATGTTAATAATTCATGTTCTTATGTTTGTCCTTTGGCTATTTTAAAACTAAATACTGAATTTATTAGTTTCATCAAGGAAAATGTGTGTGCAGTGGCCTTCATGCATAGCAAGAAGTCACTGACCCACTGTCAGTAAAACATGCTTTCTGAAGTGTTCTTCTAGAAGTGCAGATGCGTTTGCACAAATCGTTTCCTGTTCTCTTGGTGTCTCTTGGTGTCTCTTGTTAGCAGCAGCAGCATTTTGTGTGAGAGCTGGAGGGTTAAGATGCAGACCCAGGTCATAGACCTCAGCGCAGCCATCTCACATGCATAGGGATGAAACTTGGAGCATTTGCCTCATTAGCACCATGTCCCCTACTGAGTTAACCAGCCATAGGCAGTTGGAAACTTTGAAGGTTAATTCTTTGTGCCTGTAGGTAGAGTTACAGCTCAATGGACTAAGCCCTTAAAATGTTAGCACTCCAACCAAAAATTTTTAAATGAAAAAACATGACTGATAGTACAGAAAGGTTAAATGAGTTGAAAATGGGACTAAAACAGACTTTTTTTTTCCCCCAAGAGTTGCATAAACTATTCTGGAACTTTTATAGAAGTTGTAACTCAAAACATGTTTCAACCATGTGATTGCCAGGAACTATTAAAATAAATAGCACAAATAGGGCAATTAAATATAGACACTAACAACTTCAAATCACAAGAGGCAGAAATGAAGCATCCTTGCTTTTCATCTAAAAACACCAAGGTGAATTTATTTGGAATTAGAGCAAATGCTTACTTTGAAAACCTAGATAGGGAAAGGAAAAACGAGACTGACAAATTATGATTATGTCTGTACTCAGTGGAGCCCTGCCCTAAGCTAGTGAGTCAGAATGAGGAAATGGGCCTGCTGAATTATCTACCAGTTAGACAGGTGAGATTCTGAGGACACAAGCAAGCAGCCACCATCTGTGTATCGGGCCTCCACTGGACACTATATAGGACTCCTGTGACACCAAGTCATGGGTCACCTTGAGCAAGCACCATGCATTTCCTGTCCTGACTCATGTGCACTGACGGCACAGCATACTGTGAGAAGACGGAAAAGTCTTTCTGGTAACAAGTTTCATATATGAAATGATCACTAAAGGAGCTGAACTGAATGTGGCTGTCATTGTGTCCCTGGTGAATGAAAAATGAGCCTCAGAATGAGCTTGTCTACTTGGAAAGAGAGCACCAGACCATTATTTGTATAACTCTATATAAAACCAACAGGTCCTCTGTAGTTAGTTAAGGATAATGGCTAGGATTTGGAACTTTAATTCCGTGTCTCGAATTGCTCCATGTTGCGTTGTTGGAAAAATTCAAGGGCAAACTGTAGTAATTCAAAAATTGCCAAAATTTATTAAGCATGGATCATGTGTTCTTTGCCAGGAATTTTTTTTAATGATTTTTTTGTGTGTATTTCATACAGAACATCTCAAACAATCTTAATCATCTTTATGCTCCCATCCCTACTGTAATCCTCTCATAGACCCTGCCCCCACACTAGAGCCCATATACTCTGTCATCCCTGTTACTGCCCGCTGTGTGGTCAGTGCCCCCAGCCATTCCCCAGTGCAAGTCCAACTGCTGAACAGGAATAGTTGAAAAATAAAAGCACAATAAACAGGAAGAACAAAGCAAAGATTGGAACTGAGGGACCTTGTTTAGCCTCAGGTCGGCCTGCTGTGCACTGTCATATATACTGTTATTAGAAACAATGACTTAAGAAGCAATCATAGTTAACAATTAGCAGGAAAAATTGTGCTAGACCCGTATGAACAATTTCCTTTACAGAAGTAATAAAATATGTGTAAGGAATAATTATGCAATGACAGAGTAGAATACAGATAACAATGAAACAATTGAGAGTAGGAAGTATTTTACCTATTCTGGTTGCCTCTGGGGGAAATGATATGAAGCAATGCAGAAACCTTAGAATCATGTATTAAAAAGGGGCAGGCTGGAGAAATGGCTCAAGGGTTAGCAACACTGACTATTTTGCAGAGGACCCAAGTTTGGTTCCCGGCATCTACATGGCATCTAATAACCATCCATAACTCTAGTTCCAGGGGATCCAATGACCTCTGCAGCATCACACCACATGGATGAACTTACATACATGCAGGCAATACACTCATACACATAAAAAATTAAACATAATAAATAACACTTTAAGAAATGAATTACATACTGAAAAGACTCCTTAAAGTTGGAAAATGTGTCAGAACATAAAAGAGCACTGCAAAATATTTATATAATAGTCATTCCAAATGGATGCTTCTGAAAAATGTATTCTCTCATTAATACTAAGCTTTTTGTCTAATTTATTTACAGAACTTTTTTCAAATAGTTAGCAACCTTTTAGATGAAGAAAACAAGGAAAAATGGGAAGACGCACAGCAGGTAAGATCGCAATCATTTAACAACTTATAATGAAGTTAGCTAAATAGGTTTGATCCTTCAAAAGTTTAAAAGGATTTTGTTAATTATTCTGGATGATAAATTGATAACCTTAGAGAAAACAAGCAATGTTTTATAATACCATCGTTTCAGAGAAATAATGTTTACACATGTAAAAATTGATTAGGTGGTTTATAACATTACGAAACTAACACATGATATCTATATACCGTAGCCATTGGTCCCTTCCCTCTCTATAAACAATGGGGAAAACAGAAACTCTAACAGCATATGTCTCAAAACAAATGACTTGATATTTATGAATGTGTAAAATCAATTATATTTAATTCATGCTGCATAGGAGCTGGGTCATGTATACAGATGGACATTCCTGTTCAAGAACAACAGTTGTAAATAGGAGGTCTCATAAATCCTTGCATTCAGACCTTTTATTCTTTCTGTTATTCCTTATTGGTTAGCAAGTGGCCTTATTGGTTTAGCTAATTTGAAATTGCCTTGCACTGTCACTACTCCTATACCAATTCATGCATGATAAGATTGTTTTTCCCTAAAACAAAAACTGTTGTGCAAGTGACAAGTGACAAAAACTTTCATTTTTTTAAAAATTACTATGGAAATTCAATAAAACTGAGTATTAAACTTATTTAAGTTTTCTATTTGACTGTCATTAAAAATTTCAAGATCAAGGGACTCTTGAAAAGACAGAAGGAGCATTTACTGAAGTTCAGGTAAACCGTCTACTCCCTTTTCTACTTGTAATCAAAGTGGCACCTTCAGAAGTGAAGTGTGCCCTTTATTCCAGTTATGATATGTGCGATATAAATAGCACAGTGTGGTCAGCCTCATTATCAGGTAAAAATTCTGTGCTTCTAGCTAATACAAGGAGAAAAACATCACCATTTAGTTTAAAACCCTGATCTATCTTTTTCTGTTTCTTTGAATTACAAACTTGTCCTTGGCCTTCATTTAGAGGACAGCTCATTCCCTCACTGTAAGAAAGTGGTGTCTTTCCCCTGAATACAGCTGCAGTAGTTGAGCACATCTTTCTAGAATGCTGGAGACTATTAATTATGGGTATATTTAGAATGAATGTATGAAACTCTATTTAAAAGAAGGCTGCAATTCATCACATGGTGATTTTTACTGTGAGGTCACAATTGAACAAATAATGAATGGTGCCAGGCCTTCTCAATCAATGGAAAATCATGAATCCATAATCCATCTATTCATTGTAAGTTGGGTTAGATCTGTTCTCATTTAAATAATTTTTCAATAATAATGATCCTTAATGATGTTGTTAAAAGGACTAAAATTTTAAAAACAGACTATTTTGTAGCTTTTACTAAGAAATGATATCATTTGGTAAGTATGTGTGGCAAAAATAGCTGGACTTCTTAGAAAAAAAGGGTATTTTGAATTTACCAAAAATAATTCTTGTGAGCCTTCTTTTCTTAACTCTGAGAAATACCCTTAACAAAAACATTATGTAAAATAGTTTTGTATGAATTTAGAAAACTGAGTGATACTGATCTTAGAAGGGTTTGCAAACCTGTACCTTTTGAAAAATACTGCCATACAGAGTCCACTGGTTACCCATTAATCCCAGTTAAGAAGTTTCAAATTAAATTTAGATAAATCACCCTACGGAGCCTACTAAAGTGAATGCATTTCACAACAGTATATCAATACCCCTCAACACACACATACACAAGACACTCCCCCACACACACGGTGGCAGGGGTTGAAGGGTTGATTTCAGTCATATAGTATATTTCTATAATTCTGTATTCTGAAAATCTACATGTCCACAGCTCAGGAAGGTGCAGATTTTAGCCAGCTCACCGAATCCAGCCTGATGCCTATTTTGTAAATAAAACTAGCATTTACGTGGTTCCAGTGACTGCTCTGCAGTAAGGACAGAGATGGCTTGTTCCAATTTTACTCCATGACCCGAAATGAGTAAAATATTTACCATTAACCCCTTTCTAGAAGAAACTTGCAACATTTGACTGCTGCTTGGGAAATATAAATAAGATATGCCAATATGAAAATCCAGTCAACAAAATTGCAAGAGTTCATCATTGAACAGACATTGTCAAAATGTGTTGTATATTATAGACAGCTCACTAAGGCTAAAGATTCCTCACTTTTTTGTAAAGCCATACAGGTACAACACTAAATACAAGTCTTCAAGATAGACAATAGCTAGTTCTGAAGTAAAGAGACCTTCACAGGACTCTTTTGTCACACACACATCATCACAAAATCCCTTGGTAAATCTATCCTCTTCATTAATTTGCTTTATCCAAAGGCAAATGAGCTTCTTATATCTTTATGGCTGAAGACAATTTTTCATTTTGACACTAAGTTCATGTGGCCACTGATTTAGATATCTACTTTCTAAACTTACTAGAGCAGGGACTCTATCTTTCTTGATGTTTGCATTTTAAAGAGAGACGTCTTTAGATCTTTAAGATGGTATAAGGCTTTTCAGTTTAAACAATTGCATACCTTCAAAGAGATAGTGTGAACGTTACAAATTGGAATTTTTCTGAAGTAAATTCAATAGGAAAAGGGAAAGTAAAGGAGATGCAGAGGCTATTCTCAAGAGGGAAAACAAAGCCTCTTGCTTTTCATTTGCATTCATCCCTATGTCAAATAATACAAACACATAAACCTACACAGAAAATAGATAGGATGCAGTAGTAACAGAAAGCTTTGAGACAATAGGAGTTTCATGTATGTTCTTGGAATAGGGATGATGAATTCGTAGAATTTTCAACGAATGAGTGAAATGTAGTTAAGACACAAGATTTACCTCTCAAATGTTTCTGATAGAAAAATTGCAGCCATCTGTGGCATGCATTTCATAGTAAATATTCATGTCTTCGTATATTTATAAGTGAATAAATGAATGCTATATATACTGATTTTTAAATGGATATGACCCCAGCCACCTGCAAGATAGGCTTACAAGCTCCCTGCTCATCCTTTTTCTTCCTGTTCCAGTCCCACACAGCTCTTATGTTACACTTTTCTGATAACCAGTCCCTTCCTTTTTCATCCTATCATTTATAAATACAAAGTGGCTGAGTTCTAGTCTACTTAATCTCTCACGTTTAGAAGCTGCAATGGTGAAAAATGGCCATAAGAATGTACCACACTTCCAAAGATTTCTCCTCAAGCCAGGCGTGGTGGCATACACCTTTAGTACCAGCACTCAGAAAGGCAGAGGCAGGCAGATCTCTGAGATCAAGGCCAGCAACATAGCGAGTTCCAGGCCAGCTGAGGCTACATGGAGACCCTGACTCAAAAAGATCAATAAATAAAAAATAAAAAATACTTTCTCTTCTAATGTAGAGATACAAAACAGGCTAACTTTAAAAGCTTTATAGGTTGCACATGCTAAAATTCATAAGCCTTCTTAAATGCCCTCAATGTTACATACAGTATGAGTTTTGCAGCATAAAGTATCTTTGAGAAAGACAGACCCTTTTGTGTGTGTGTGTGTGTCAGTGTGTTGGGTAACACACTTGCAACACAGAGGCAAATTGTTGTACCAATAGGTAGATACATAAAAACCTAGGTAGCTAGGTGGGTAACACAGATGCAGACATAGATAGATGATAGATGAATAGATAAATACTGCCTCAGTCACTAGCAAAGGTACAAAATGGCTTCAGTTGTTTATTTAGGGTCCTTGAGAGTCTGCTCCTTCTTGCCTTCAATATGTGTAGTAATCTCACAGGCTTGTTTCATCCATATATGTAGACGCAAATTATTTACACTATGGCTATCAGTATAATCCAATAATTGTTGCTAATGTTGTTCATACAATGACTACTGTAATTATTAGAAGTAAATGATTCTCCCCCAATCCATTTATTATACAATGGATTTACTATTTCTAAGTATCTTCATGATAGCAGTAATAATTATATTTTTCCTTCCCTGTTCTCCATATGGATATCAAACTAAAAGTGCTGGGCGCAACTTCAGTGTTTGTTCTATTATTTAAGTTGGGAATGATTTTAGAAAAATAAACTAATGTCATTTCTATGTAGAAAATCTACTAGATATTTTGAGTTTCTTGGGTTTATACAGGAGTAGTGAATCATGTCACTTCCAAAGTTCTTGCTGTTTGACACCTGGTAGCATCTTCAATGATTCATTTAAAAGCTACAGATGTTTCCATTTGTAGACATTTCTCCTAAGAAAACAGAGCTCATTTTTAATTTTATTATGTAGAATGTCTTCTTATTATGTGGATTTTCCCCCATCTAATCTGTGCTTATTTTTCTAGATTTATCCAGGCTCAATAGAGTTAATGCAGGTGATTGAAGATTTTATACACATTGTTGGAATGGGGATGATGGACTTTCAAAATTCATACCTAATGACTGGAAATGTAGGTAAGAAATGGGAGTATTTCTCAAAAGTTTACTAAAATAAAAACATGCAAGAATCTCAGCCACACATTTCAACTGTAATGTCTTATTCATATTTTTAAATGTATATGAATAAATATATTATAGAAACTTAGTGTTTGATTTTTAGATAGATCAAACTCCATTTACATTAAATATATACACCTGTATAAATACATTCTGGGCATGATTTTTCTCTGGGAAGAGATAACATCTATTCACCCTTGATAGAGCACTAACTTCAGATCAAAGAAATAATTTCACCCAAGTCTAGTTTAGTGAACCAATGAGTTTCCTGAGTTTACTTACAGGAGCATGATTGAAGGGTTCTTTATAAGGACATGGGTATATCACTGAAAGGCGTACTCGAGTATAGCGATCAACTCATGAAGATGGCATCCCTGGCATTCCCTTACCAACTTGCAGGCCACCCACTGAGGAGTTTCCTGTCTCTCAGCAATTACTTTTTATATATAACCTGAGGGGCTTCTTGAATCTTCTGATTTTCTTAGCACCTTACAAACCCAATTATGCCAGTCAAATCACTCAGATCTGTCAGAGACTCGCCTCCCTCATAAAAAATCATACCCTGCCATGACACTCAGGAAAGCCACTGAAGCTTCATATGAGTCTACAGGACCCTGCTGAATTAACTTCCTTCTTAACTCTGCTATGACCACATTTCTATTAAGCCAGGTGAACTGGGCATCAAACACTACCTGTTACATGTACAATTCCCTCCATACTGCCTGGTTTTCCTCTGTTGTCTTCTTGCCTCAGATACTCTTGGAGGCCTTACCTGGTAATAGCTAATTCTCTATAATGGTTTTTATGAGTCAGCCTATCAGGTGATGATTTTCCTCACATCATCTTAGATTATGCAATGTTTGTCTCATGGAGGGATGAGTCATTACATTACTCAGTTTCTCCAGAGCCTCAGACTAATCCCATTTGCCACCATGTTTCATAACCAAACAAGCCAAGCTGTGAGAGACTCCTTCATTCCTTATTTAAAAGCCTTTTACAATTTAAGCTGTTACCATATTTTTTTCTGTACTGGACCATAATGAAGGCTCATGCTGAATCATGGGGATTTTCCCCTTTCTCTGTTAAAGGTGGATCTGAGGGATATTTTCTATCAATTTTACCTCACTTGCTTCTCCCTCAGTGCCTTATTCTTGCCAGAAGAATTCATTTTTTTGGATCCTAAAAATGGTTCTGTAATACAGACCTAGCTTTCTTACCTTTACATACTGCAGGCTGTAAGAAATGGCAAGCCGGCTTAGTGGTTAACAGCATGTACTACCTTGCAGAGGACCTGAGTTTGTTCCCAATACCCAAATCAAGTAGCCCACAAGCATGTTTAATTTTAAGGGCAACTGTACTCACCTTTGCATACACACACACACACACACACACACACACACACACACAATTTAAAATGTATAAATAAATGTTAAAAAACAGAAACAGCAAGACAACACTTCTGTCACATCTTCTCTTTTCTGTACTTTCCCTAGAAAATCAGAGACTAGTGAAATCCTTTCCTTGAGTGCAGAGATTTTCTAGACCAAACCATGAAGCTCAGTTATGTGTTATCACCCAGGGGAAAGGGAGTGTGCTGTCTCCACAGCCTGCCTCCTACCCCATCTCATTTGGGTTCTTTCAGGTACCATCATATATTCTCTAGTCTGGAAGCCATTTGGGGTCATCTCTGTTCTCACTTGAAGAAAATCATTCATCAGGAAATCATTCCACCACAATGTTATACAAAATAAGATAGCACCCACAGTCCCCACCACCACCCCCAAGGTATTCCTCTTTCAGGTAGCTCAATGTCAGTTGAATGCCTTACTAGAGCCAGGAGCACACCTGCCACTACAGCAAGGAGACACCCCATCCCATACCAATATTGAAATGGCTCCCAGACACCAGACACCCCACTCTCAGATGAATTAGCTTCAGTTGCATGCCTTATCACCTATTTGTGGGACATGCCACTGCTTCTCCCCAACTCATCTTTGGTTCTGTGGTTCATGTGAATTAATGTCTATTTAGCTGAACTAAGTCACTGTTGACAGATGAAAACAAAAATTCCTCCCAAGGTTAGTTTGGTGAATCAGTGAGTTTATCAGGTTTACTTATGAGAACATGAGTTCTTACCTAGAGGATCACGGGTGGTTCAAACGCAGCAGCATCATATAAAAGCCCACAGCATCAGGAGCAAAACTCATGAAAGGCACTTCTCTGGAACTCCCACCCAATTTGCAGGCAACTCTACCAAAGAATCTTCTCTCTTACAGCAGTTCTCTACTACTTGTATCAATGTATGGGGAATGTTTTGGGTGGTGTAACTCTTTAAACTTCCTCAGTCTTAGAAGTTTTTGGAGTTTTCTTATTTTATTTTATTGCCTTCCTGAGTTTTATAAGCCTCTATCCTCCTTCCAAGAGTGAATATTTCAATTTGGATGCAATAGATAACACACACACACACACACACACACACACACACACACTATTTTTTTTACATTTATGTACACTTGTATGAATGCTTATAGGCCTACTTTGTTTCTCTGTACATGTTTCCAGAGAGATTAATATGTACTCCTTTTTTTATCTGCTAACTTTTCCTTACTATGAAATATAAACTGGAATAGCTATACTTCACTGATTTTGAAAAAAATTAAGTCTCCATTATCTTCTATTCATTCTTGATAGAATATTGAGTCCCTTACTCATTAAGCATCCCAAATAAGTGTATGTGTGGGGTCTGTTTGGAGTTTGGAATATTTCAGAATGATTTTCTTTTTTTTTTCCTGGGATCCTCCCTGTAGCCCCAGCTTGGTTAGAATTCACTATGTAGACTAGCCAGGTCTTGATCTTTGCCTCTGCCTCTCTGCCACCACACCTAGCTCAGAAAGCTTTTAAGGGATATAAGGATGGTACTAATGCTGTTGCTGAAGTTTTCTTAAATACCTTCCAAGACACGAAGACTTAATTAGATTCCTGTTATGGTTTCTACAATGATAAACACCAAAAAGTAAAGAAACATTTCTTTCAGTTGCCATTAGTTGTGCATTTTATGACAGAGTGAAGTTATATAGAGAAGTAAAATCTCCATACAACGGTCTCTACTGCCACAATCACACTGAGTAAACAATAATTGTATTAAGCAAATGGCACATTTCTCTTTGTAAATGAAAATTGGTAAGAGCAAAGATTAGTTTTTTTAATTAGACAAATGGATTTCATGAAGGTTTATGGTTTTGTTATTTCTGTAAAGCTTCATGTCTTAATTTTATGCTTATTCAGAAAGACTGTGTTTCCTTTGCCCTGACAGAACAGTCTTCACACAAAGACAACTAAGTTATAGATAATGTATTTACATAAATATTTTTACTCCACACTCTGATAGGTGTTTAAGCTTTCATTTCTGCATCAGGAAGTCTTGGCTTAATTAATCCCTTAGGATGGCTCAATCTATGCAGAATCTAAGTTTTTATGATTAAGACTTCTGGTGGTACATTTTATGCTTGATTTCGTCTGAGGCCTTTAATCCTATAGGAACATATTTTTCCCAGGATATCTTCCCCTTGAATGGTGTCAGATTGTAGTGGGTGATAGCTCACTACTAGGTTTATTCTTCACTTGAAGAAAATCTGTGTAACAAACACAAGGAAAACAGAAAATCTAAAACCACATATCTCAAAAGTCTTAGGATTCTTTGGTTATGACAATTCCTTCTTCATGCATAAGACAAAGCATTTGGGCAATATTTTAATGAACCTCTGGAGCCAGTTTGATTACAAAGGCAACTTTCTGTTAAAATGAATGTTCAGGACCGTGTTTATTTAGGAATACCATGCTTCTCCCTTCCTAAGGGCATTGAAATAAAAAAGGGATCAAATATGTATAGTATCTTTGTTGAAAGATATAGTATCTTTGTTTATTTCTGAAACTAGAGAATCAGGTAACTGTTCGATAAGTGACTGGGAAAAAGGAAAAGAAAAAAACCTCTGAGTTAATGTGGTATGTTAAATGTTTTAGGGCGTATGGAAGGACAGATTTCAAGGTTGCTATTTCTTAATCTGAATCATTATTTCAAGGACTATGTGACTTATTTGGTGAGTTCAAGAGGAATTTGAAGAGTTACTGCAGGCTGGATACTGGTGGGATTATCTATAAATGAAACTGAAGAAATGCAAAGAACAAGTGTTCTTGTTATTTGTGGAGTTAACATTTAATTATAAGAGACATCCCTAATCAAAAGTATTGTCAATGAACTGGTGATGTAGTTCAGTTGGTAGAGTACTTATCTAGCATATGTGAAGCTCTATTTCCAATTTATAGTACTGCATAAAACTGGATGTGGTGACACAAGCTTATAATGTTAGCCTTGAGAGGTGGAAGCAGAAGGATCAAAGGTTCAAGGTCATTGTTGGCTGTATAAAGAATCTGAGACCTGTCTGAGCTATATAAGACCATCTCAAAAATAAAACAAAACAAGTATTGTCAGATCAATACCTGGCATTCCATCTTTGTTTTTTCTTTATGTGTAGGATTGTATTGTCTGCATACATGTAAGTGCACCTGTGCCCTGCAATGCCCAGGGAGGTCATAAGAGGGCATCAGATCTCCTGGAACTGGAGTTGAGGTGGTTGTTAGCCACCATGTGGGTGTTGGAAAAGAACCCGGGTCCTATGCAAGAGTACCCAGTGCTCTTAACCACTGAACCTGAACCATCTATCCAGCCCTAATACCTAATATTATTTTCAGAATGTGTTTTGAAAATACTATAAAAGAACCAAAGCCAATTCCAGAGTTTAATATCTTTAGATTTGGGCTTAAAGTAGATGGTTTCAGAATAATATCATATCAGATTATCTACAGTATTATTTACTACAGAACATTAATGTCCACATATTAAATAGCCATAATTAACATTTATTAATGGCATTTATTTTGATTCATCATAATTGTATGTT